TATATATCTCCCTCTCCAACATGACTTCCTGTGTCCGGTCTCATGAGGGTGAGAGAGGAGATGAGGGGAGAGAGGAAGAGAGGAAGAGAGGAAGAGAGAGGTGGGATAGAGGGGCGAGAGAGAGAGCGGGAGAGGGAGAGAGGAAGAGAGGAAGAGAGAGGTGGAGATAGAGGGGCGAGGAGAGAGAGCGGGAAGAGGGGAGAGAGGAAGAGAGGAAGAGAGAGGTGGGGATAGAGGGGCGAGGAGAGGACGGGAAGAGAGAGAGGAAAGAGAGGAGAGAGAGGTGGATAGAGGGCGAGAGCAGAGAGCGGGAGAGGGAGAGAGGAAAGAGGAAGAGAGAGGTGGGGATAGAGGGGCGAGGAGGAGAGAGGGGAGGGAGAGAGAAGAGAAGAGAGAGAGAGTGTAAGGGCGAGAGAAGAGGCGGGGGCGAGGAGAGGAGCGGAGAGGGGAGAGAGGAAGAGAGGAAGAGAGAGGTGGGGATAGAGGGGCGAGGAGAGAGAACGGGAAGAGGGGAGAGAGGGTAGGGTGAGGAGGGAGTGTACTTTCCATCGATGCTAACGGCCCTCCCCTGCCCGTACCTCACCCCCCCCCCACCCCCTCACCCTCACCTCTTTTGGCCATCGTTCGCTCGCCTCATGTCCGGCCCGGGGCGACATGAGACTCACGGGAGAGTGAGGTGACTTAAATGAGACGACCGCTGGTGTATGTATAAAACTATGTCTCTATATCATGTCCACGAACAGTTCATGTGAGTGTGTACTTGCGTGTGTTCAATTTAATCAACGCAGATTTGTACTTATGTAAAGATACACATACACCTATCTATCTAACTGCCTACCTATCTATCTATGCACATATCTACTCTTCTATCTACCTATTTCCTCACTATCTATCTATGCACGTATCTACTCTTCTATCTACTTATTTCCTCACTATCTATCTATGCACGTATCTACTCTTCTATCTATCTGCCCATTTCCTCACTATCTATCTATCTGCCCATTTCCTCACTATCTATCTATCTGTCCACTTCCTCACTATCTATCCATCCCTCTCCCGATCCATCTATCCACCCGCCCATCCGCACATCGACCCCCTGCCCATCTACCCGTGGGAACCGGCGTCGGCGCCGAGAGCGTCGGCTCCGAGCGGGTCGCAAGCAGCCCTCATTACCGATTTTTCTCCGTCGCCAAGCATCGCCGCCTCAGGTATCCGCGGCCGACATCTTATTTTGGCAAATCCTTCGATATCCTATAATCGAACCCCGAGGAGAGAACGAGGGAGGGAAGAGGCGAGTGTAAACGCTCGACAAAGCCTCCTCTAATCCCCAGCAAATCCGCAAATCCGACATTGATACTAACAGGAGTCAATCCTCCTCCCCTCCCCCCCCCCTCCCTGCCCCATTCCTCACTCTCCCCACCCCCCACTCTCGTCTCTCTCTCTCTCTCTCTCTCTCTCCTTGTGTCAACAACCTCCCCTCCCCAGAACCCCCTTCCCTCTCCTTAAACCCCCCTCCCCCCTCCCCATCCTCTCCCCTCTCCCATCCCATCTTCCTCCCTCCCTCCCCCCCCACCCCACCCCCACCTATCCATTTGGGTTTCAGTGGTAGACGGATCACCAAGCAAATATGGCCGAACCCGAGCACAGTGGCGCTAATCTTGCGTTTATGCTAATGACTGTAAACATGCTTTTTGTCTCCTGACGGACGCCAAAGTGTCCCTCTCCCTCAATTCCCAGGAGAGAGGAGGGGAGGGGGAGGGGAGGGGAGGGGAGGAGGAGAGGGAGGAGGCAGGAGGTGGGGGGGATGAAAGGAGAATGGGAAAAGGAGGAGGAGGAAGAGGAATAGGAGGAGAGGAAGGGGAGGAGAGCGTATGAAGGAGGTAAAGGGAGAGTGGAAAAGAGGAAGAGGAAGGGGAGGGAAGGGGGGAGGGACGGGGAGGGGGGAGGTGGTTGATTAGAGCGGTCGCCACAGGTAATTGAACTGGACAGTCACAAGCAGGTGGTACTGTCCGTGCCCTCCCTGTTAGCATGTCCGCCCCGACCACCCTCACGTCCCCCCCTCCCCCCTCTCATCCGGGTCCCGTTCGCACCTCCCTCTTTCCCCTCTCGAGCGGGGGACTACAACCTACAACTCATATCCTGCAACCCACGAAGAGCCCGACTTTGTAGAGAGTTTACGTTACTGCACACGAACACACACACACATAGTAGTCGTAACTATAACGGAAAGATAATAATTCGATCGGATAGATAGAAATGAAGACGATGATGATAGTAATAGTAATACTGTAACGATAATAATAATAATCATAATAAAATGTTAATGATAACGGTATTAAGATGACGATGATAATAACAACTACAGAGATAGTTATTACAACAGCAACAATGCCAGCAGCGTCAGTAACACCCAGAGAGCGGGGAAGCCCCAAGGGAGCCGGCGAGAGGAGAGCTCGGGCGCAGCTCCTCGTCAGCTCACGGCGACAGATGCGAAGCGACAGAGAATTCCAGCTGACTATGGGCACGTGTTTCGGCGTAAGGGGAGGGGTGGGGGCACGCAGGGGGGGGGTAAGTTAGGGAAGGCCCGGGGGAGAGGGGGAAGGGAGGGGGGGGAGGGAAAAGGGCAGTTAACTGAGGGTAATTTCCAAGTCATCATACCTGAATACATTGAGGGAGGTGAAGCTCCCGCCTCGAATCGGTTGTTATTTTATTTAACACTGGCGACTTTTGTTTCCTCGGCGGGCAGGAAGTGGCCCCAGGTGCCCAGGTGCCCGCCCTCCGAGGGGCAGGAAGGCTGACAGCGAGGGCGCGCGGAGGCCTCGGCAAAACGGCCCTCGAGAGTTTCCTCTTCAGGGCGGTCTGAGTCCAGCGTTCGCCGGATTCATAAATCGCGCTCAGATCGCCCTCAGAGCTGGTGCCTCGCTGGCGACCAATCGCCCGATTTAAGGGTCGATTTCTATTATCATGATTCGAACCTCCGCTGCAGCGGCCTTTAATTAGACTTTCATTTTGCTCTTGGATTAGAAACCTTTGTCTTCTACGAGTCACGTGATTGAATGGCCTGCATCGCATTACTCTTCGCTCATGTCTCGCAGAACTTACTAACACGAAGATACAAACACGTCTAAAGGAGATGAACAAATATAAGATAAATCACCTCGTAATCTCTTGCATCGAATTTTATGCAAGGAAATTATGGCGTAGCGAATAAAGAGACGATACGTAATAAGACGTACAAATAGATATATTTATAAACATTAACAAAAAAGAGAAAAACGAAAGGCGCGCCTCCACCGCCCGAAATCGAAATGATATCGCACCGAGGGCGTCTAATCGCGCGAAATTACAAAGCCCCAAGACCACGACCCTCCAGACCGCGCATTAGAGAAATGAACTTCGGCAGAGAAATTCGCTCCGGCGGCGCGGAATCGGGCGCACAAAACCCGCAGACTTTCGACGCCTCGAGTGCCTGCCTCCGGTCCCTTCCCCTCGTCATCCGGGACCTCCTTTGGCCGCCGTTCGGAAGGGTCCGGGGGCGTCCTGCTCTCCCGCCGCCGGGACCAGGTCCTGCCCTCCTCCAGATCCTTATGCCTTGGACTATCGGACACTTGAAGTCTATTATAATTCCTTACCATTAGATCTTTAGCTCCGTTTGAACCCTTTTGACTGAACCCCCACCCCCTTCCTGAGCAAATCACAGCGAGGAAGAACCCCTCCACGAGGCCAACCCCACCTGAAGGGCGTCCAGCCCCGCGGTGACGGCCCTTGGCTCGCCACGGCGCCTTATCTGATAAGGAGCGATCAGCGGAATAACCACGAGGAATAAAGATTTGCCAGGACATCCTCCCCGAACGAGCCCTTGTTTTTGCGAGGCGACTTTCGACTACTTTACATATATAGAATTTTATAGACTAAATACTGGATCGAGGCCATCTCATGCGCCCTGCCGGCTATGGAAGGGCCGCCTCCCGTTCTCGCGTTCTCGAAGGGTGCCCGCTGGGTGGCTGAGATCACTGCACTCTCAAGCAAGTGTTCTTAAGGTCTGCTTGCGATAAGGCACTCCGTTGGAAGCACTTGCAACAGCCAATGGGGCAGATTAAAATGCCGATAAGCCCGGCAGTAAAGAGAGCAAAACCTGTCTAATGTACTTTACTGATTATACGATTTTGTAGAAAGGCGTAAAATAAATAAATATTCTCAAAGCAGGTCCCTCCCCCTGTCACTGCCAATATCCATCGATAAAACGGACTAGTTCATGGGACCTGAAGTGGGAACGAGACGGTTGCATGTTCTCCCGATATTAAGTCGATGACTTAACTTATTCCTGGCTGCCGCGGAGCGAAAATGACGGAGATCACTTCTTGTGCGGACGTTGAAATCACCCACGTCGTGATGTGTTATTTAGTCGCACGAAACTAAATAAACTAAGAATTAAATCTTACATAAAACCCTAACACAAACACTCCGCTTCATTGCAAAGCTGCGATAATACTTTCGAATGCTGGAGAGAAAAAAAGTTGGCGAGTGATAATACAAGGTAGATAGGTTTGTACTTGCGTTTGGAGAGATCCTTCGTTGAGTGCAGATTGCTTGTCGAAGAGGAAAAAAATCACTGAGTCACTTGTTTCACTTATAAACCGTTTGCAATTCGGGTCGTGCACTGTATTAACCAGATCACCCGGGCGAAAGAGAGAGAGGAAGAGGGAGGGAGAGAGTAGCCACTTGCTGTCAACTGTCAGCTTGACTTCTGCTCATCAACCGGAATGGCTTAGCCTTCGTTGGCTGCCCATCCATACACGGGACAAGTGCACACGACTGGGCTTCAGCAGTGGGGCCACTTCTCTCACAATCACCGAAAATTTTGCATCTTTCGTTTTTCCGTTTCAGAATTTCACGAAACTTTGCTGCTGTCTTAAAGGGGGACTTGGCTCCACGCTCCTTCGAGGCGACGGCAGGATTTGCTTGCGGTTTCACGCTTTCCAAAGGCGAGAGACTCTTACCAAGGAGTTATCCACTGAACACAGAAGCACTGGGACACTGCGGGTTCGGACGGAAGGTGGCTTCGAGAGGAACTGTAACGCGCGACTGGCCGAGCGAGCGGCTGCCAC